CGCCACCGCAGCGTCAAAAGCGACCGCAGTGTCGCTGGAACGTCGATCCGCAATTTCAGTACAATGTTACGCTTATGAATTTATTTGTCGGTTTCCTTATTCCTCTGGCTCTGATTGTTATATTCTACGGAGCTCTCTACTGCAACATTCGAAAAATTAGGAAAGTTAGTCACAAAAAACAGCCTGTCAATAAAAATCGTCAACATCAACAACAACAACAACAAACACAAAATCAGTCTCAGCCAACAATTGAAGTACCACAACAACAACAACAACAACAACAACACAACGTTCAAATAAACCTACCTTCTATAAACGTAAGCGACAGCAACAACAACATAACAATGAACAGCAGCCATGCAGCGAACACAAACAACGGTGACCACACCAACAACAACAACAACAACAACAACCACAACAACAATAGCAACAAAACCAACGCAAACAACATCAGCTTCACAATCGTCACAAACAACAACGCCATAAACACCATCAACAGTATCAACAACACGACAACAGCCACCTCCCATCAATCTTTCCACTACCATCAAATCATCCCTTCAGAACAGCATTCCTCAAATTCAACCAGACCCAGCGTCGCCGGACCGCGGCGGAGGAAACCCCTTCACAAAAAATGCTCTTTCTGTTATTTCTGCAAGAAAAAAGGCACGCTGACAATGACCGTAACTGCCATCACCGTAACTAGCGTCTTCATCGCCACTCAAGTACTCTACAACATCACCGAGATGATGAACGCTACAATAATGTTAAACACCTACGAAAGAAATCTCTTGAAAGAGCAGCAGAGAAATCTCTTCAACCAAAATGACAACGGCGACTACCACAACGTCCACAGCCGCGATGGCGACTACGAGTATAATTTATATGGTAGCGGCAGTAGTGGTGGTGGTAGCGATGATGAGGAAGAAGATGAAGAAGACGATGAGTCTTTTTGTCAGTTGGAGGTTTTGCTAAAATTGAATTTGCTGGTGTACGTAAATGACGAAGATGGAAGTACCGGTAACACCTTTAATACTAGAAGTAGTAGCAACAATAGCAGTAGTTACAGTAGTAACCACAATTACGGTAGTAGCAGTAGAAGTGGTGGCGCCAGTAGCTTCAACATTGAACGCAACAAAATAAACTACAATAACGACGTCACTTCTACTGTGACAACACCGACGGCAATGACATTCAGTTCTCGGAAATACAACGGTACCTTAAACAACCGTAGTCTGGCAAATCCCAGCAGCCAAATCGATCCCATTGGGTACAGTGAGAATGAACTCTACCGCCGGAGTCTGCAGAATATCGTCGCCAAGATCCTCGTCTACTTCAGCTGCTGCTTTAATTCCGTAATTTATGGACTCTTGAATAAGAATTATCGTTAGTTGGGATGATGAATGGATGCGATTGGTGGGGTTATTACAATGATGAGTTAGGGTAGGGTTATCACAGTGATAAGAATGACGACGAAGACGCTGATGGGATAAGATATACCAACAATGTATTTATGCAATGCTCTGTGCATAGGTTTGTATGTTATATGTTGATACTTTTGCTGAAATTAATAACGACGACGATGACGATGATGGTGACAAAAAAAGGTAACGATAGTAATGATGACGACGATGATGACGTCAGCGGTGTCGACGGTGACGATGAAAATAGAGGAACAACGGTGGAGCTGAATGACTCTTACGATGACGAATGCCGCCCATTAAAATTAATCTCATCCCAAAAGTAACGCTAACGAACAACAACAATGATAATAGCAATAAGAATATTGATCATTACTATTTTTATTATCGTTTATTATTTTTTTGTTATTGCTGTTATAATTATAATTATTATTATTATTGTTATAATTATTATTATTATTATCGTTATTTTGGAATAATTTTAGATGCTAATTAAATTTATGACGGCGCGTAAAACCGGGACGTTGAAATAAGAATAACAACAACAACAACAAAAAATCGATGCCAATAACAATAATAACAATAACATAAATTACCATAAGAATGGAAGAGGCAATGACATTAAATGACATTTAATCGCTATATGTGAATGACGGTTGGGCCTTTCCTAGATATGAACAATTAAGAACAGCGTCAGACTAGATTGTTATCATTAACCGCTTTCTGGTGCTCTCTTAGTTGTTTTTATTCATTCATTTGTTCATTCATTTGTTCATTCATTCATTCACTCATTCATTCACTTATTTACATGTTCATACATACGTTCGCACAAATCATTTAGAATGATTATCAGTTAATCCTATCGCATTTATAATCATAATCCATCCATCCATCAATTTATTCATCTTCTATCTATCATTCATTCGTTCGTTTTGGCAGTTAATAAGACATTCATCTATCCATTCATTCATTCTTATATTTATCCAACCATACATTTATCTGTCATTCATTCATTTATTTATTCATTTTTTCATTCAATCATTCATTCAATCAATCGTTCATATATTCATTCATTCATTCCTCCATCCGTCATTCATTATTCATTATCAACCGGAAAATTCCAAAACGGGAGATGAGCGATAAAAAAGAATTTAAAAATCACCTTTGCCATTTTTTTATCTTTGCACCATGTTCCCGCCTGTTACATTTTCTTTGTTAATGTTATTGTTGTTGTTGTTGTCGTTGATAATGTTGTTGTTAATGTTGTTGTTGTTGTTATTATTGTTGTTGATGATGTCACGATGACGTGGTTTCTTTTTCGCGTCCTGTTATTGATGTCATTTTTTGACGATGATGTTGTTATGTCCGTCTTTTAATACTGTTGTTGTTGTTGTTGTTCCTGTAGATGTTAATGTAATTGCTTCTCTGCCGTTGTGAAATTATTGTAGCAGTAGTACCAGCAGTAACAGCAACAGCAGCAGCAGCAGCATTAGTAGTAGTAGTAGTAGCAGCAGCAGCAGTAGTAGTAGTAGTAGTGGTAGTAGTAGTTGTGGATGTTAGTTTTTATGACGTAATGTTTTTTTTTCCTGTTGTTACTATTTCTGAGCGTTTAATTTTACGAGCATTTCGTTTTGGAATGCTTATATTACGCTGGTTTCCATGGTAGCGACGAAAGTTACGACACAAGCGTCATTGTTGTTTATAGTGGCTTATGCTGATGAATATGTTAATGATGAGAATGATGATAAAAATTTTCTTTCTTTATCTGTTCATCGGCTCGATCGTTTGTTCGTTTCTTTGTTTGTTTGTGCTTTCAACTTTTGATCTATCATTTGATTCTATCATTGCTGAAACAGTCATTCGTTTATGCATTAATTCATTAAATCATTTATTAATTTGTTCATTCATTCATTCATTCAAACATTTTCTCATTTATTCGCCATGAAAATTTCAATTTGCTAGTCGGTTCATTAACTAAATACTTACGTTTCCATTCGTTCATCCTTGCGCTGATGATTATGACGATGATGAC